CAAGAAGCACTCACTGGTGATGGCCTCGGGAGGGAGGAGACCACGGAGCTAGGACTGGGCCCTCCTGCTATGGATCACACTGCTGGGTTTTGGTTATGTTTATTTTGTAAGCAGCCATCATTCAAGGAGTGAAGAGAGAGGGAAGGGAAGAAATAGGAAGAGAAGAGTGGGCAGGGACATTTATAAGTGTGAGGCAAAGGCTGAGCCAGAGGGCCGGAAGCACCCGCCCACCGACGAGCCCCCGCAGGCCCACGTGGCTCTCTCTGCCCTCAGCAGCAGTTCTCCATCCATGGAGGGTTGTGGGTTCCCAAAGTGGGTCCCCTCTGGCTCTACAAAATGACTGCCCTCCAGCCTGGTGGCCCCTGGCTGCTGACAGGAGATGAGGGTCACTGGGGGAAAGCCATAGGTCTCCAACCCAGGGGGCTGCCCAGCCTCAGAAGCTTCCAGAATGAGATCCACATCAGAGAAGGCCACCAGGGCCTGGGTGGAGTCACAGGAGCTCTTCTCCAGCTCACTGGCAGCAGCGTAGGCTAGAGGCCCCGGGGCCCCTGTGCGGGGCCAGAGCCGCCGGAGATCATCCCGGAAGTGGGGGTTGAAGAGCAGGTAGAGCAGTGGATTGAGGCAGGCCGGCAGGGGCAGCACCACAAGCAGGACAGACTTGACAGCCTCGGGAGTGACAGGGAAGAGGCCCAGCATGGAGGCGAAGCTGAGGAAGGCCACGGGACAGTACAGAAGCCCATCTGCGAAGATGAGCCAGGCCACGTGCCTCACCATGGCGCAGTCCCACACGGCCTCAAAGTCTCCCCGCGGCAGGTCACAGTAGAGTTTGATGTAGGCACCAGCCACGACCAGGAAGCAGAAGGAGTTCATCATGACCAGGGCCACGGCGAAGCCCAGGGCGGCTGGCTGGCCCTCGGGTGGGGCATAGGGCAGGCAGAGCGGGGAGGCCCCGTATTCTCCCACTGAGGCAAGGGGCAGAGCCGCGGCCAGCCCTGCCAGCGTCAGGCAGCCCAGGGCCCCTGCTCGAACGCTGCCGAGGGAGGGGGACTTCCCGTAGGCCCGGACGCAGGAGACAGAGACGCTGCACTGCACCGCAGCCAGCGTGAGCAGCAGCACCGAGGCCTCCGACCCCAGTACCGCCAGGAAGCCGGTAGCCCGGCAGCCCAGCCCCGTCTCCCAGCGGGCTCCGTACTCGGCGAACTGGCCAAAGGTCAAGGCGTCCACCGAGGCTAAAAGGCCACAGGAAATGCCAGTCAAGGTGTTGGCACCTGCAATTGCACCTACCACAAACTTGACTGGGGACAGGGGGACAGGCGCACCAACAAACACGGTCAGCAGCACCAGCCCGTTACAGAGCATGGAGAGCAGCGTGATGGCCCACACAGCAAGGCGGATGCCCCAGCTCTCAAACAGGTGCTCACAGGGCTTGAAGGGGCCTGTAGGAAAGACAATCAGACATTACCCCTGGGCCAGAGGCTGCTGAGACCAAGTCCTGGGGACAAGGCCAGCCTCTCTACTCAGAGAACCCCCAATCTAAAGGAGATGAACATGGCCTCTGCTCACAGAGAACTCCAGGCCTGAGGGAGGCTGTCCTGGCCTTGGCTCTCAGAGAACTCCTGGTCTGGGGGGCTGACCTGGCCTCTCACCTCAGAGAACTCCCAGCTGGGAATGAGGGGAGGAAAAGTGGGACATACACAGCTCTTCTTCCAAGGAGCTGCAAATGGGGTGAAAGCTAACCTTCCCAATACACATAGAAAACAGAAACACTAAAAACACACACATGGTGCACATTTACGCAGTGCAAACCCAGACACTGAGGAAATGTCAAGTAAAACAGTCTTTCCAAAATTT